AAATTGAATAATTTGTATTTGTGAGAAAAGTTATTTAATAAAACTTTAAATTTAGGTATGACATAGTAAATCCACAATACCCACACTGAAAATGGACTATTGACCACATTTTTCAGGGTAGCAAGTGAGGACATCTGTACAGGTGATAACTTCTAAAGTGTGTGGGCAGGAGACAGTGTAGGATATTGTCTATGACAGTCCTCCTCCCAAAGGTGAGGAAACAAAATGAAACAACACAAACCACACTATACTATCAAAATCTGAATGATAGTAATACAGAATTGAATCTTATACTCTTAGACAATGTATATATCAAAGATATTTTTAGAGACTGACATATTTAAATTTTAAAACATATTCTGTTCAATTTAGTTGTCTATTCATCTTCAGATTTGGGTTTGTATTTTAGAAACTGTTAAATTAAATGACCTTGATAATGGTTGTCAGTGCAGATTATACACACTAATTCATGGGTTGTAATAGTGTCTCTGTCATTTGTTAGTTGGGTGATTTGGAGAAAGTAGCTTAAACTCTGCATTTCTTCATATGTAGAACAGGACTGAGACTGTCTAGAAATATTATTAGGAAAGTACCATAGCAATAATCAGGAATGGATTATATAAGCAAGGACTAACAGTGCCTTCAAGACAAGTTAGGCTCTGGTCTATGCATTTTCAGGATATTCTCTCATTTAATCTTCATAACAGATCATAACACAAACATTTCTGATAGAATAATTTATATAATAAGTCCACAAATTCTGTCTTATCACTCTACTTTGCAGCAGAACAAGCTGTGGAACAGATATGTGGAGCGGCTAACCAAGTTAAGCAGCTAGTATTTGATAGATGAAGGACTTAAACTCAAAGAGTCAGGGGCCAATACCTGCCTTACAAGTACTTTCAGATCTTAATTCTTCATAGGCTATTTTTTAAATCTTCTTGAGTAGATGATTTCATACATGTATTTATGACACTGGCTGATATTGATAATGCACAAATAATTCTCATCTTCTTAATGCTATATCTGCTACAATGTTATAGGGATTATCTGAATCTGAAGAGTGGTTCTCTTCTGCAGCTGAATTGCTATATACTTACAGTACATAATTCTTATCAGTATAATCAATATGTTGTTAGAAACATCTCTAATACAAGAGCTTATTGCTAGTTAGATAATTTATTTAACTGTCCTTTTTTATTGTCCCTATGGGGGTCCAGATTATGAATTCCCTGTCAGAAGACTTTTTTTCTTTCCCTTTGCCATGCAGCAGATAGCAGAGGACTGGATACATTAAAGATACACAATTCATATTTATGATAAAGAAAGGTGAAGACAATAGAAATATGAATAAATGAATAATTTTACTTTGTCACATACACAAACTATCACAAAAGTATTGAGAACTCATTTCATGATTTCTCTATAACCATTAACAAAGTTATAACCAGGGCCTCAAGATGAGGAATGTGTGTATAAAAGACCATGAGAGACTCACCTAATCATGCCTGGCCTTTCTCACTGAGTCTCCTACCTGGCTTGTTCAGAAGTGGCAGAAGAGGCAGCTGTGTCTTCCATAAGTGAAGTCGAGGTGCTGCTCAGCTCCAGAAATGTGTGAAATACTTTATTTTTGATACGGTAGATTTCTTGATTTGGAAGAAAGATATAGTATTTGAGGCTAAAATGAAGTTTCACTTTCTCAAAAAAATCTTAATATTTATAGTGGTATATTGTACAGAATAACATGCCAACTACTTACTTACCATTATGGAATTTATAACCATATTCCTACTCCATAAAAAAACTACCAAATAATTTTCCACCCTTTATGCTCTCAGCAAATATAAATTACAGGAGGGATACTACCATGTATATTTTAATATTTGGAACTAGATACTAGCTTTCTAAGTTTTGACATGCATAAATAAAATTTAAAATCCTATAAATAAGGAATATAAAGAAAATAGAAAGAAAAAATATACTAGTGGAAATTATTTTCTCACACTGAAGGAATTGGAGAAATAAACATGAGAAAAAAACATAATGAGTTTTCAGGTCTTTATTTAGGGAAAATATTTTTTACATGTCAACTATTTTGGAGAGGTGGAAGATTCTCAATTAAAAAATGTTTGGTACCAGTCTCAGAAACTGCTTATAACTATATTGTAATTAGATACCTGAAAGAGCGGCCATCATTTTCATCATACATATTTTATCAGATATATGCATTTTAATCAGTACTGATTAAATTTTCTATAAAATGTCATGTGTTGAAACTATGTATGATTAATGGTTCTAATGTCCAATGATGTCCCTGTGCTGATATATAATGCAAAAAAAGGTTATGTGGTTTATTGGTGAAAATGATGCTCTTATGTGCATTTATTTTGTTTATCCAGAATAGTTACTTAGTTTTGGTTCAGTTCAGTTGATCACATTTTAACAAATCAGTGTAGGATAATAATATAATTTTGCTCACTTGAATACAGTAAAGAGAATTGCTTATTACCTCTGATAGCTCTGTGTTTGTAGTTTCAGTAAGCAAAGAGATTGCAATTGCTATCATAGTAAAATTTTAATCTGTATATAAAATTTTACTTCTGATAGAAAATTTAGTGGGCTAATAAAGAGAGAAGTGAAGAATAACGGGAATAAAACTTCAGTAAGATCCCTATGGTTAGATATGAATTGCTATGTTCTAGACAAAGATGCAGAGGGATTAAGCTTTCAATTCAAACATAGTCTATTTTTCCATTAAATTAGATAAAATACCTATTGTTTTTCAAATTGCCTTTTCTTTTATCTTAACATATTTAATAAAGCAATCATTTCTTTAATAAATTGGATATTCCAGAAATTACAGATATAGCAATGTTGATTCTCTTCTATTAAAGTCACAGAAATTTATGTTTAATATGTGTAGTATTTTAAATGAAAATATATCACTTGTTTAAAAAACTAAACAATTATATATCTTATATCATAAAATACTGAAAGTACATAAATGAACCTTCAACCAATATATATTTTTCACAATTTTTGCACTACAAGTTGCTATGTAGATCTTATTTCTTATATTCAAATTAATTTTATTTAATTCAAAACTTTTTTAAATAGTTTGAATTTTACCAACGTTGAATGTAATAGTGCTTGTGCACCTCTGCAAAACATCCTCTTTGTGTTATAATCAGAGATAACAGCGACCTAACAGTGTTAGGACAGATGTTTGCCACTAATCCTTAGTCTGTAAATAGAATTTGAGCATCTCACTTAAAAGTAATGATAAAATTAGTTTAAAATCCTTTAGACATTTTCAAAGATGAGTGTCTGAAGCATAGGTACACCTATGGAAAATGATATTTTAAAAATACAGAAACAAAATGCTTAAAGTAGAAATAACTAAGCTTTGATAAGGAAACTATTGTAAGTTTCACAAAATTCTGTTTCTAAAGAATAAGTACATTTTTCAAACTATGGAAAATTACTTTCAAGCATCAAGTCCTATCAAGTCTTAGTTTATACACACTAGCAAAATGAACTTTTAAAATAAAACGTGGTGTGTGTGTGTGTGTTCTTGTATTTCTCTTTGCGTAGCTCTTTGCATCTAGTCAGAAGGGCCCAAAAAATCCTTCTGAAAAAAATGTAGTCTTTCTATGGAAATACAAATCACAAATTCTGAATTCTAATTTGGAAAGAGTTTTTATACAGCTTATATTAAAAAATTGTATAACGACATCACTGTAGAAGTCGTATACTACTGCAATTACAAGAATACTTTTGGTTGGGGCCAGGGATTTAGCTCAGTGGTTCCACTGCCTGCCTGACAAGCGCAAGGACCTGAGTTGGATCCCAGGTTAAAAAAAAAAAAAAAGAATCCTTTTGGTAAAGATTTTCACAAAATTTCACTGTCTAGAAAACAAGAAACATGTGGATTGATAATGTTTTGATTACATAATGCTTCGATCTGGAGAAAGCTACAAAATGAGTGCTCAGATTTTTTCTTGAATTATTGGGTAGAGTTTGTAAATAATCAACCTACTTATATTTTAAATCATAAAAATGAAAATATGGTTGGTTGTAACTTACTTTTCTAAAGCCAGTAATGGAAAAAGGCTATCCTGAAGGTGTCTAAGTGTTAATATTGTCCATTAGTGAACTATTTTACTGTTTAATTATAAATTAGAGATATAATTCAACATCTAACAGAATTATATAATTTAAAAGAGAAGGTACAGGAAAACATTTTATGTTCTACCTACCTCCTTATATAACACATTCCATGATGCACAGAGTATTTCCACACAAGATAGATGAAGGAAGTATTATCAATTACTTGCTTTTAACAACTTGAATACTTACCAAATGTTGTCCTACAATAGTACAATAAATAGTATGGACTGCTATGGTCTGTGTTATGTGAATTTCCCTTCATGGACATAATCAAGTTAAAAAAGAAAACCAGGTAAACAAAACACCCAAATAAACACAATATGAGTAAATAAATCAGCCCTGTGGTATGTCCTTTGAATAAAATGAGTAGAGACCGAGTGGGAAGACTGAGTGAATCTGTAGTTACAGTAACCAGAAGAGGCAATTTTGAGGTGTCATTTAAACTGAGATCTGAAAGCTTCAAATTAAACTTTAAAAGGGACTGCTCCATTGGAATTGGATTTGGGATACCTGTTCAGGCAGACACATATATCATTAGGAGAGGGGAGGAGTCAGAGTCTATACTTTTGGCTTATCAAAATCAGTAAAGTTGGACATGCTTGTGTTGAATAGTTCACATGCATTTATGAAAATTAGAACATTTTTATTGTGCCAAATAATTACTCTGAGGCACTCACTTTTTAACATTGTTCAACAGATGTTTGGAATGTTAAAACAATTACCTAATTCTTTTATAAAGCTTTGATAATACCCTAAAATACAGTATAATTTTATATGTTTGACAATAGTTATATGCTCTATTTGATTTATTTATTTTATACGTTTCCCAGGATAGTCCACTGGTCTTACAGTCTGACAGGAATGTAACAGTGAATGCAAGAAATCACATGGGGCAGCTCACGGGACAGCTGACAGTGGGTGAGTGTTTTGGGATAAAGAGTTCTCATATCATCTTTCTCCCTTTGAAACTGTGGTTGCATACATTTGAAAAAGTAAAAGAATGTTATTTCTCTAACAGATAATGAGACATTCCATTACAGCCAACTATCTTGCTGATGCACAATAAGGCTAGTTATGATTGCCTCTATTGAGGAGTTATCACTCTTGGCAGTATGTTACAAAACAGAATTTTATGTGTTTTTGCTGGTCATTACTTCGGAAATATAAAATACATGATTTTCCTAAGAATATTTCATAATATATATTAAAGTATAGTAAGGAGACATAAAAGGCATGGGAGATAATATCCCTAGGTCTATGTTTGTTTTGGGGGAATAATTTTATTATAAATATTACCTGCTTATGGGAGCTACATACATTAGAAATTACATAATTGTCAAGTGTAGTGAATCTTACTGTTTATCAATTACTTATAAAATGTTTGTTGAAATTATCACTGTTATGGTTTGGGGGATATACAAGTTATAATTTAAAGCTAAAGAATTTCAATGTATTCTTATAAAATATATTTAATGTAAATCTATTAAAATGTAAGATATTATTACTTGAATTCATTTTATAAAAGAAAAGCCAAATAAAAAGTCAGATGTAACAGTAAAATTATACAAAGATTTGATATGCAGTAGATATTAAATTAATATAAGAATATCATATGTGTTCTAGGATGAAATTACCTAATGCTGACATTTATATATCTATATCTAATTTTTCACATTATAGATTTACTTATGTATGTTATATATAAAGAAAAAAGAAAGATAAGGAACTTACAATTTTGTGGAATGATTTATCTTTATTCTAATGAGAAATTAAAAATCATT